ATATATATATATATATATATTATATACACACAGTGTGTGCGCATTCATTTTTCCTAAATCTTGCATCACTAATACTTGAATAAAGATGTCAAAATTATTCGTATGATACCTCTCTACTCATTCTACTTCTCTCTCTAGACTCTAGTTCTTATCCCCTTTCTCTATCCATATCCATTCTTTCTTAATCCTGCATCACCAATACTTAAATCAATTTCCGTTTCTAGCATGTTCTCAATAACCAAACAAAGAACCTCCTAAACAGCGACAGAAAATCAAAATACACAAAAGAACAAAACATCATTCAATTAAAGTACCCCCATTATATCTCCAAGCTTAACCCTAGGCTTTCTCGGCGGCTTCGCTTCCTCGGACTCCGAAACCGCTTCTCCTTCACCTTCCGTCCCCGCAACCACTTCCGAACCTTCTCCAACATTCTCTTCGGCATTCTCCTCGGCTTCCACCGCTTCGCCTTCGGCGTTCGACTCCGCTCGCACCGCAAAATCCCGCTTCGCAAACAAGGGGCCGAAATTGGAGCCACCGAAGCTCGTCGAGACCCCGGCGGACTTCATCGGAGAAGAGCGACGAGAAATAACGGAGTAAAACCCTAGCCTCTTGATCGGGCATTGGTTTGGGTTTCTCGGGATCGTTATCAGTGCCTGTTGGAGCCGAAAATCATCAATTTCAGTCATTATACAGAATTATCCTAGAGAGAGAAAGAAGAGAGAGAGAGAGAGAGAGTACCTGAGGAAGAACTTTGGAGCCCATGATTTTGGGGAGAAATTTGGGAGAAAAAATGCTGAGAAATGAAGGGGTGGTTCACTGAGCGGAGATCATGACTGTGCTATGGAAATTGTTGGATGTGTAGTTTGTGAGAGTCTTCACCAGACGAGGAAGAAGGAAAAGCCTTATCTGTTCTATCCTTTTACACGCGTTGTGCACGTGATGGGTTTAATTTCCTCTCCACTGTCTTTTTTGTTTTTGTTTTGTTTTTTTAACTGTTGGATTAAATATACAACAAATTAATCAATGAGTGTTTATTTTAAAAAGGCACAAAATTATTTTGATATCTTATATTATAATAAAATATGCTCTTCATATTTTGTGTCTTTATAATATTAAAATAGTATATTAATGTTTTTAAAAATATCCTCTCGATATCTTGAAATTAATTTTTATGACATATAATGTTTAAACTACTATTTTTATTAATTAAATAGAAATTAATATTTTTAAAAAATAATCTAAAAATATTTTGAAACATTAAATTTAAAAGAAAATAATAAAATAAAAAAATTCATGATTTTTTTCCTAACTTTATTAGTTTATGATTAATTAAATAAAATGGTACTAAGGTCATTTTACATCTTAAAAATTAATTTTAAGGTACCAAAAAGATGTTTTTAAAAAGATCGAGGTACCGTTTTAATATTATCAAAAAGACCGGATACTAAGAGCATGTTTTGTTATAACACAAGGTATCAAAATGATTTTATCCCTTTTAAAAATTTACAACACGCAACAGAATAGTTCGTGTCGTGCGCTATAAATTTTTAATGTGAACACTCACAAATTAAGGGTATGTTTATTTTTATGACTCAAGTTATATTACCACAGTGTTTTCTCTCACAATAACTTTTTTGCTAATGTGTTTTTCTCTCGCATACACAACTTAAATCATAACTCAAATCATACAAAATAATAAGCTCTAAATCATTAAAAACTTGATTCAACCGTTAAAATAAAAAATTTTAACCGTAGTTAAAAACATAGATCTTGTCGTAGGAGTTCTCTTATTTTTTTTGGGAAAAAAAATACTCTTACCCAATGTTATTCTCAATTATTAGAATGATATATTGTATTTTTTATGATATTATAAAAAATATTCATTTTATACTTTGCCCCGTATTTTCTAGACATAAAATGCGCCTCATACTCTTTTGTTCTTTTTATCTTATACTAGTTGAAGCGTGATTCTGAATGTAAGAATGAAAAAATATATTTATTAGATTTCATTTGAAGAAATACAAAAAGTAGAATGTATATGGTGCAAAAAAATAAAAATGAAAAAAGGAGAAAAAACAGAAAAGAGAAAAGGAAACGGAAGGGAAGTAAAAAGAAAAAAATAAAAAAAAGGCCCCACTTACAAAATGTTTTGCCAGTAGGGGAAAGATGATTTAATAGAAATTTAAACAGGGATATGTATTAGAAAAAAATATTGTAGTGAAGAATTAGAGAGGAAAAAAAAAATATATATATATATACATATATATGAGGGTCATTTTGCGTAAAAAGAAAAGAAAGAAGAATGTATAATATGGGAAAAAAAGATAAGAATGAAAAAGGGAGAGACAAAAAAAAGGAGAAGTTTTTTTAACAAAATATCAAGAAATAAAAAAAAAATAGACAGACATATGTATGAGAAAAATTATTTTAAAAGAAAATAGAGAGAAATATATTTATATGGATCATTTTGAGAAAAGGAAAAAAAAGAAAATATATAATAATGTAAAAACGATAAAAATTGAAAAAGTAGGCGACAAAAAAGAAAAGAAAATAGTGGAAAGTGAAAAGAAAAAGAAAGGAGGGAAAATAAAAGAAAAAGGAGTAAAGTTTCATTTATTTGTAGAGAAAAAAAACAAAAGATGAAAGAAAAGAAAAAAAACAAAAGATGAAAGAAAAGAAAAAAAACAAAAGATGAAAGAAAAGAAAAAAAAAAGGAGCAAAAGAATACAAAAGGAAAAAAAAAAACTTTAAACAGAAAAGCAAGTCAGAATTTAGCATTACAAAATAAAAAATATCAGTAAATGGTATAAGGATATTTTATATCTAAAACTCAACATTGAAATACCAAAATAATATAATTTTTTTTTAAATGAGATACTATTTTAATACTACTAAAATACATGATATTTCATAATGATTATAAAATATACATGGTACCACAAAAAAATATATTTTTCCTCTATTTTTTTAATAATTTGTTACACTAGTTATTTTTCTATATTCATAATAGCATGCCACACATGATGTGACTCACCAAATGAGACCCACTAATGTGAGATAACCTCGCCAATTCCATCAAGTTGAGTCACATTTTTTAAACAAGAGAAATCATATCAATATTGTTATGTCTTTGTCTCGTATAATTATATTTTCTATATAACTTTTAAAGCACGTTTTTCATAAATTTTATACTTTTACCTAAAACATATTTATTTTAAAATAATTGATTTTAATAAATTATTGATGAGTAACTCAAATCAATGAAAGCTTTACCCAAAAGAAACGATAAATTTTCCAATATCTACAAAAGTTTATCAAAAATCAATACAAAATTCACCAAAGTAATTTTTAAATGGCATTTTCTGTTTTGTTAATAATAACATTAAACAATGATGATTTTTAGGTTGTTACCCATTATTTTATAATTTTATATTTTAAAGTCTGTAATTGTTTTTGGTTGATTGACGTCTCACACAATTATTTTTTAGTTATATTTTGTTGATTTCTTTTTTATGATAAGAAAGGTAAAGGGATTTTGGATTGGGTACATTAATTTTTCTTTTTTTTTATTAGGAAGGATGCATTAGGATTTTCCCTTTTTTGTCCGTGGAAGAGGATGCATTAGGTTTTTGTTTGGACACTTTTTTGATTTGTACACTTTATAATTTTAAGGAAAAATGCCAGTTATTTTTTTAAATAATGTTTATCATCCTTCAATTATTATTTTGATTTTTATTTGATTATAAATAATTATATATAAATCTAGCAATAAATAAAAGAGCCAAAGTTTTTATCTATGGTGGCAACCCCTATACTTATCTCTTTTTTTTTTTTTTTTACTTCTTTTATCTTTATTTTTTGTGAATTTTTTTACATTTTATTTTTGTATGTGTTTTTTAAAAATATATTATTCCTCACTCTATTCTTATGAGAGTAATTTTTTTTCGCATGTGTTCCTATTTTATTTTTGATTAGTTAAAATAATTTTTTTAATGTGTCTCTGCTTAATTTTTTTTTGGTCAATTGTTGTCTTAACATATATTCTTTTTTAGAATAAATTCAAAATTCCTTAAATGGTTGTATAAATGAATTTTTCATTATTCGATAAATAATAAACTTTTTAGGTATCTCTAATGTGGCAATACATACAGAGCACATAACAAAACTAGTGTTAAAGAAAATTTTTTTATATATAATTATATTGTGCAGTAATCAATGAGTCATAAAGTTGTTATTTTTTGAGTTATTTTATTAGTGAGTCATAGAGTTATTATTTTTTTGAGTTATTTGATCAATAAAAACCTTTTTGTTATTTTATCAATGATCCATGGTTTTCAAGGAGTCATTTTATTTTGATTAAAACTATAGAAAAATAAAAAATTACTAGGCATATACAATTTTAATAAAGATCAATGACAGAAAAGTACTAATCTTTGAAACCTTAGCCGTCTTTTGGTGGAGATGAATGAGAGGAAGAGAAAAGAAGCTTGAGTGTTGGCCGAAATTTTGACATCGCCTTCAGGCTCGTTGTCAAACTCCTGGCCATGAAAATCAATCCTCGAGCTCGTCTTATTGAGGGCTCTTCAATGATGGTGGCAGTGTATCGTGGGGTGGCTTGATTAGGGCGGATCGGGCTCCGTTTAGAAGTTAGAAACCGGACGTTTAGGAGGACTTTTCGGCACCGTCAATGTCGGTGGTTGGGTGGTGGTGAAGGTGAATAATTCATTGTCATTTGATGGTCTCTTTTTAGCGGCTTTGCTGCATAGCTCTCGAAGCATTCTTCTTTCTCTCGCGGTCCTCTCACCGGTTGCGTCGTTGTTAGAGGCTTACATCAGCTATGTTTTGGGTTTTCTTTTTGCTATACTTTATGTTTTAGATTGTAATAAAGGTGTAGCGACGTTGTTTTCGCCACTTTTTGTTTGTTGTTTTGTAATAACGGATATGGTTTTCCCATTGTCATGTGATAGTTATGTCTCCCATCCGGTTGAGTTGTTCATCGATGGTGTGGATTGTTTGGTCAAATTAAAATCTTGTCTGTGTTGTGATACTGATGTCCTTTTTGAGTGAGGGTTGGTGTTCTGTCCCTTCAGTGCACAAAAACTTGTTTTGATGGGAGAGATTTTTTTAAAATATAGCCTTAGATGTGCTCGATCTTAGTGTGCCAAGGTTATCTTCCTTTCTCAGGTCTTAGGTGTACGTTCGTCTCTCTATCGAGTCATTAGCTTTGTATTTGTGCTGCTTATTTATTTGTTTATGTTTGAATACAAGTTTTCCTTGAAAAAATGATTGTTTCCGGTAGACCGTCCTACTAATAAGACCAATTTTCTAACCGTTGGATCCAATTAAAATCAAATGAAATTAGGAAACGTTTAGTTCATAGATTAGAATTATGATATTAGAACCATTTTTAATTTATGTGTATTTTTTATGAGAGAAAACACTGTAGCGAATCATAAATTATGATTTAAATCATGGTATGAATCCCTTTAACAAACGTCTCTTAAAAAAATATATAGAACAAATAATTTTTAATACAAATTAAAAAAATAAAATTATCAATAATTCTATTTTTTAATTCTACGAGAAGAGTCCTCTAAAAAATAAATAAAAAGCACTACTTTTTTTTTTGTTTTAATTTAAAAAAGTCCCACGACACAAGTCTCTGTCAATAAAAAGGATCAATGACTCTTTATTCAGTCTCCTTTTATTTTGGAATCATACGTCACTCTTGACTACGTGCATTCCTTTAAAATCAGCCACGTGGCAATGGCGCCTAAAAAACTGACATTTCAAACTCTCGCAACTCTACACGTATCACTCCATTTCTCTTACCCGCCTCCTTCCCCTCTCTCTCTCTGCTCTGCTCTTCCCCCTCCCCGCTTTCATCGCTCTCCCTCCCATCCTCCCTCTCTCTCTCTCTCTCTCTCTCTCTCCTCTCTATGCAAATTCTCCAATCGCTTCTGCAGTAACAATGGTGTGAAACGATTGATTCGATCTTCACTCACAGAAGTTTCTGGAAAAGAGGAAGAAATAACAGAGAGAAAAGTGACGAATTGATCTCAATTCCGATCAATTTTTGTGGCGATGGACACAACGAGGGGAACGCCGCCGGGGATCCTGCTAATTCGGAGAATCCGAGGCAGAGACTGGAGTTTCTCCACCTACAGATACGTGATCTTGTTCGTTACTTTCATAGCCTACACCTGTTACCACGCTTCTCGAAAACCAAGCAGCATAGTCAAGAGCGTTCTCGACCCGGATCCTCAAAACAACACCGCTTCGACCCGTCCCTGGCCGATCGGCGACGTCTTCGTGAAGAAGGAAGAGGACTGGATCGTAAACAGCAAGAGGTCTCGAGATTCCGGTTGGGCACCGTTCAACGGCAAGGACGGGACTTCGAAATTGGGCGAAATTGACGTCGCTTTCTTGGCTTGTTACTCCTTGGGAATGTACGTCGCCGGACATTTGGGCGACACGCTGGATCTCCGGCTGTTCCTGACGACGGGGATGATCGGGAGCGGAATCTTCGTCTGTCTGTTTGGAATGGGGTACTTCTGGGACATTCACGTTTTCTGGTTCTATCTCGTTATGCAAATGGTGGCGGGGCTTTTTCAGGCGACGGGATGGCCGTCGGTGGTGGCGGTTATCGGGAACTGGTTCGGGAAGAGAAAGAGGGGCTTAATAATGGGTGTATGGAACGCCCATACCTCCGTGGGTAACATTAGTGGGTCGCTCTTGGCCGCAAGTGTTCTGGACTTTGGGTGGGGTTGGTCTTTCATAGTCCCCGGTGGGTTTATTGTGTTGGGAGGGATATTGGTCTACTCGTTTTTGGCTGCTTACCCTGAGGATGTCGGGTTTTCGAGTGCTCTTCAAGGTTCGGCCCCTAATAATGTTGAGTCGATTTCAAGTAATGATGATGAGGAAGCGAGGACCGGGAAAAGGACTGAGGCAATAAATGGGGTTCCGCGGCATGGGTCGGTTAGTAGGAGAAGTGTTGGGCTCCTTGAGGCGTGTAAGATACCTGGGGTCATACCTTTTGCTTTGTGCCTGTTTTTCTCAAAGCTTGTGGCCTACACGTTTCTGTACTGGTTGCCGTTTTATTTAACCCAGACAGGTATTATCTGTTTGTCCCGGTCTTCTCATTTGGTTAATTGGTATAAAAAGTCAGAGATAATGTTATTGCTGTTTAGCTTGTTTCATGTTGTTTACCTATTCATTTGTTTAGTCTTACTACATTTTAACCATACTTATATGGACAAAGACATTTTAGTACTTAAGCTAGGAAATCTAAACTGCAAAACTAAATATCAGAGCTCATCCTACCTAGTAGGATTCCTATTCCTAAAGTTATTAAATACTAAGAAGTTTTCAATTCTGCATCCTAATGGAATACTAAAGAGTTTTCAATTCTACATCGTAATAGATAATTAAAGACTAGAAAAGAAAATATGTCATCTACTTTTTTATTCTTTTTCTTTCTTTTCCAGCACCACCTCCTTTTTCTATTATATTCCATTTTTCTTATCAATGACTATTATTTGATGGGAGTAATAATTTGCGTGGAATGGATATAGCGTTTTAGTATTGACTCTGGTATCCTGGATCTCTTGTGTTGATTAAGTCAATCCTTTGATTTCAATGAAGGGAGGGAAATTGGTCGGTCCATTCTCATGATAAACGTTCCATCAACATGATTGTGTAACTGTTGCCGAGCCACAACCTGAAAAGTTGAATTTTACAATGTCAAATTAGTTCAAGTATATGTGACTCAAACTTGGTGTACTTGTGGCCGGGGCCTGTCCTTTGTAGTTATACTATCATTTCTTACTTCTTATCAGTCATCTTGTCAATAACTTGTTATTCTTTCAAGGAGTGAGAATTGAATCATTCTTTCTCATCAATGCTTAAATCATGGCAAGCAATCATGAAATCATCTGAAAAAATCAGATGCACATCTTGTTTTCAAGCTTCTTATAATTTTGAGTTCTCTGTCTAATATTTGTCTTGTTTTCTTTTACCATTTTGCAGAAATTGGTGGAGAGTATGTTTCTGTAAAATCTGCTGGAAATCTCTCTACTTTGTTTGATGTAGGGGGAATTATCGGTGGAATTCTCGCGGGCTTTATATCTGATAAGCTTCGTGCTCGGGCTACAACGGCAGCCAGCTTTATGTATGCTTCAATTCCTTCCATGCTTTTATATCGAACATACGGGGGTATTTCACACTCTGTCAACATTATGCTTATGATGATTGCTGGCTTATTTGTGAATGGACCATACGCACTTATCACCACTGCAGTTTCTGCGGACCTTGGTACTCACAGTTCTCTTAGAGGGGATTCTCGAGCACTTGCTACGGTTACTTCCATAATTGATGGCACTGGATCAGTTGGTGCTGCTCTTGGCCCTCTGCTTACTGGATTTCTTTCAACAAAGGGATGGGATGCCGTATTTCTGATGCTAATGCTAGGGGCTCTCATTGCCGGACTATTATTATCACGTCTGGTCATGGCTGAAATTTCTGAAAAAGCATGCAAACCATTGCCTGTTTCCAATGGGCAGCAAAGTGTTGAAGGTAACTGAGTTTTTTCCTTTTGCTATGACTGTATACATTTTCTAGAAACAACTCATTTCGATATGCAGAGGTTGAGCTGGTTAGTTTTTAGCCTTAATTTGTTATATGGTAGTAGAACTAACAGAAACTTGCATGTGCTAGTCATAGAAAATCATGTGCTTTTGACTACATATGTTACAGTCATGTTTAAAACATCCGAGACAGTTTCTAGAATACTGAATTAAACTGAAATGTTCTGGTTAAAATGTTTCTCGTATACTCGACCAGATAAAGATATAAACAAAGAACTAATACTTTTTTCGAGTCCTGGGTATCTGAAATTATTTGATCTCGGCTGATGATTCTTTGCATAAAAAAACATCACATAAATTTGTTAAATGAAAGCATGACATAGATATAACATTTTTATCGTGTTCTTTGTTTTCCTTTTTCTGTTGTTGAATGCATGGAGAGAATATGCAAACATTTCCGGATTCACTTCCAATTCTAAAAGTCACCAAAAAAAAAAAACAAATTACCAAGATGAAAATTTTCACTTATTTCTACTACTGCGTCGATTTCTGACTTAAACCTGATCTCTTCTGTTACAGCTCCTGCATCTCAGCCGCTTCTAAGCTACCAAAGATGATTCATGGACAAGAACTTCCATCATAAGACCTCGGAAGTAAGAACATGTTCCCAACATGCAGGTGTTATGATAGCCTCAAGAACCACACCGAAGAATGCAAACGAGCAGTGGTAATTTATAGTATCGAGAAATAGATTGTTCTTTTTGTTCCTATTGCAGAACAAAATTGGAGCATAGTATTTCAGGGAATTTTGATGGCTTTGAGAAGTAGCTTTTAGCATCTCACATTTTCTGCAATATATGCATGCATACGTGTAATTATTTTGTTTTCTACTCCACATTTGTGCTCTTGAGGGACTGAGTTGAAGTGCATTTGTTGCTGTTGAGAGACATAACTGCAGAATGCTGTTTCTATCTTTGAGTGCTGGGCTGGATGTTACAGGTTGCCAATAGCCCTTAAGAGACATTTCTCCGTCTTAAACTATTTGGGCTTTACCTCTATTCTTCTATGAAAGGTTTGGTTTGGTTTTGTTTTTGTTTTTGTTTTTGTTTTTTTGGTTGCTAATGTTGCTGTTGGGATTACTTTTTTAGCTCCGTTTTTGTATATTTGGTTCTTAAATAGGTTGAATTGTTGCGTTGTAAGACTGCTCGTTCTCTTTCGACAAGTTTTTGGGTGTTTTACGGGGTTTGAGTCGGTAGTTTAAGTTATAGGGAAGAAGGCATAGTTTGGGATTGTTGTGCTTTTAACCGAAACACTATTATTACTTAAAAAGCAAAAGAAGATAAACTTCTTTTACTTTAAAAAAAAGTAGAAACAGAAATATATCTAAAAACTGCAAATTCCAATTTCTCTAAAGTCTAAATTAAAAAGTGTATTGCTTTTTATGTAAAATGCTTTTGTGACATGTTAACAAACAACATAGTTGAGTTGTTTTTTTTTGTATTACGTGCTTTTAGTCCAAACTCATCCAGGTCTATCTCGTGTGAGATTCATATAAATAGTAGTTCTGTTCTTTTCCCGCTGTTCTTCTGGCCATAAAGTTCTGATTCTTGTTTGAGCTAAAAAAAGAAAAAGAAAAAGAAAAAGAAAAAGAAAAAGAAAAAGAAAAAGAAAAAGAAAGAGCTTTCTACGTGTATAGATTTCCATGTGTTTCAGATCCATTTGCAAAAACCATATACTCAAAACGCATAAATCAGGAACGAATTCTCTAGCGCTATGCTCCAAATCCTTTACAAAGTTCTCAAAAATGCCAAACGCAGCCAGACACATATGTAGCTCGTTTTTGAAGGGAAAATTAATTTATATAATATTTTTGGCTAAAAGCAACCAAGATATCTTATTAATAAAGGGTCTTTTTTTTTTTTTTGGTTAGCTGTCGAGACCCGTATTTTTGCGAAATAATGAAAATTTTAAGAACAAGATGCTGTATTGTAGAAAAAGACTGAACAGCAAATAAGGGGACACAGAATGTTTGTGATTTTTTTTTGTTTGATAATTGATATGATACGCTTTCCAGCATCCAGCTTATACTTTCACTTTAAACTGTTTATACTTTTTTTTTAATTATTTTATTTTGTTTGTGCTTATAATGCATTTGTTTTGTCCATTCATATTCTCTTTACCTTTTTATCTTTTCGAAAAGTTATTTTGCCAATTACGGACATTTATTTTTTTAGTTTTAGTTTTAGTTTTTGGCTTGGCTAGGCTAGTTATTCGTTCAACAAAAGTACATAGAAGCACTTTTGTTGAGTAGCCTGTTATTGTATAGTACTAATATACTATGTGGATATAATGTATTTTATCCAACATATTATTTTTTTAGTCCCTTTTAACAAGTATCCTCATTTCTTTTCATTTTTCAATAAAATAATCCTTTATAGCTTCTTACTATAAGAAAAACGATACTAACTGACAAACAACCGGTTCTACCTGAACTTGAATGAAATGTTTAAGGTCCCGTTCATTTCACCGATTCGAGTTTAAAATTTGAGTTTTGTTACAATAAAAAGCTCTCAGAAACAATCACATCTAACTTTTTTACTACAGTAAAAAATTATCACATAAAATCACATCTCAACTTGAATTAAAAACTCGAATCGGTGAACTAAACGGGTTCAGAGAAAAGTGTGCGCTCCACAAATGAACACCTAAAGAGATACATAAAAAATTGAGCACACACAAAACTATTTGACAGATCTTCTTTAATCAATGAAAATATCCAATTAATCGATATCGAGAATTTCATAACACCAAGGTCTCACAAAAACCGTCTAAGATTCTCAAGGAAACAAGTCTAACTAGCAGAAAAAACAACCAAACACTAAATAAAGACAGAAACCGGTAGAGATAAAAATCACCGTTATACAACCAAACACTAAATAAAGACAGAAATAGGTTGGGGCAAAAATTACCATTATTACACATCCAAAGAAAATGAACGGAAAAAAAAAAGAAAAAGGAAAAAAAAGACCACAAACAGCAATGACAAAACCTCCGTGGAATACGAACTTTGAGGCCAGAAACGTACGGTCAGGCACCGAATGAAGGAAAAACACCGTCGATGTGCAACCGAACCAACATAAATACACCAAAAGTGTAGCCCAACATAACCAGCCAACATGACACATCTGATACCATCTGTTAGAACATATGAGGGTGTATAGTTATCCATGCACTGTTCTGTAGCTTAGTATTTCTGTCTCCTAGTTAGTTGTTCTCTCCATTGATAGTTTTTACAGTAATATCTTGTGTACTGTTGGGTTGGGTGCGTTTGAAATTCGTTCAAAAATAATTTTATTTTTTATATAAAAATGAAAATGAAAACGTTTTCAATCTCAGACAGAAATCATTTTTAAAAACGTGTTTGGTAGTTTTATCAAGAGATTGTTTTGAGTATAAAAAAAATCCATTAATGTCTCTCTCTCTATACCCGAGAGAGGAGAAAACAGAAACAAAAAATGAAAAACGACTAAAAGTTATTTTTCATTTCTCTTACATTTTATACTAAACCAAAAAATCGTTTTCATTTCCGTTTTTTATTTTTAATTGTATCAAACGCCATTTCTTTCATGTTTTTATTTTTTCTTTCTTGAAAAATATGAAAAATAAAAACAAAAACAACTCTAAACACAACCGTTATTTCCTTAGCGCTTGACACGTGTATAGGGATAGGGCATTACTTCCGTGTATATAAACTTCTTTGAGCTGCAATAGATTTACTTAACTGAGCATTTCATCTTCTTCGCCTCCTCTTCTCTTCCTCACTAGTTAACCCTAAATTCTATTTCCATCAAATATGATATATATATATATAGCAGAAACCATCCTATCACCATGTGAGCTGCATTGCGAGTAAAACACAAGTCCGAGATTGATCTGCTCAGGTCATCTAATTTTGCTTTGTAGCACCGAACTAGATTTTTCTAGCGGTTATAATAAGCAGTGAAACTCCAATTCAAAAAATAAAATACAAATAAAAATAATGAAAAAAAAAAGCAGTGAAAGCTATACTACAAACTTAAGAACTGCGAAATTTTCTGTTGCCAAAAAACTCTTTAATTTGGGGCACTTTCATGCAAACCAACAACAGAAATGGGGGTTGTTTTCGAGCTGTGACAAACAAACCATATAAGCGTATTGCCTACGTGAGAGACATGTGATCATGGTACGTACCAACAATTTGCTTCCACGAATGCAATATTAGCATTCAAATCTCACGTCCTCTTTGAAAGCTCCAATCGTAGGACACGATAAAACGTCAATTTTCTAGAAACCAAATTCCATAATTTGTCCCATTTTTATCGCGACTGATTATTTGCTTATCCACTCATTATAAGTTGAGCGGTTAAGAAAACTAAAAATATGTTTGTGCGTGTATATTTATTTACTATAAATATGCAGAATATTGTTACGGGTCATAATCATTACATAGTGCGGACATAATACATACATACACATATATATATATATATATATTATGTATTTCGTTTTCCATATTGGTTGGCAAGGACCCCACGTCTTTCAGCCTTCACATATATACACATGTTGGGATTTGTCTTTAGGTCTCTTTTGATATTTCTTATCAACTTCAATTATATAACATTTCCAGTATTTTATCAAAAATATATGCTAATTATAATTTTCGAATAAAATGTATGTGCAGTTCAATTAAAAACGATTTCATCCTTGAATTTTTTTTATAGAAAAAATGACATGTTTTATTTTATTTTTTACTTTATTTTATCAACTTATATATATTTCTCATTTCATCATCTAATGGATATGTGCATCTGAAGATTTTGAAATGAATTGTAGTTGTACCTCTTCTTTTTTTTTTTTTTTTTTTACCTTTTTTTTTTTTTTTTTTTTTTTTTTCCTGGAAAAAGTTGTACCAATAATGTTGTACTATTGATAAACCTTTTGACATAAAGTACTTTCGCAGTTTTATACCAAGTAGTAGTGTGATATGCAAATAATCATTTAAGAGAAATAATTATCATTAGATAGATATAAAAAGTTATAGAATATTTAGAATAATTCTCAAATCATAAAAACAGTAATACTCTTCAACGGGTTAAATTAATGCAGATCAATAAGGTGAAATAAAACTCAATAATATCATTTTGTCTAAGATCTCGTCCTACATGCATTAATTACTAAGGTTAGCTGAGGACAAGATATTGAATTCTTCATTGGACCACAAAACCAATTTTTAGTGCGCATTAATGTAGGTGGCTATAACTATAGATTCCATATATATGTATATAGCACAGTCCTCATCAAGTACCATAATTTATTTTCTTCTGGCAAGTATTCATGAACAACGTGAATGGAACAACAAAGTGAAAACAGAAGAAATAATGTACATGAACTAGGTACCACCACCACCTGGGCCACTCCACTACTTAATTAATTAGGTAATGAAGATCTAAAATGGAATTAGGAGCTTTCTAAGCATGGTATTGTGTGTTTCTGAGTGGTAGATTTCATCAAAATCATATTAAAACAAAAAAAATATGCAAAACAAACAGAAACTTAATAAATTCAATAAGATAAGATAAGTTTTTAATTTCGATATAAATTCGTCTGAGAAGAAAATAGAATTTTGGTGTAATACGTCTATATATATATATATAGCACATATATTGATATAACCCTTTTCTACACCCTCTTTTGGCTTAGTTGAGTGAGCGGTGAGCATTATCTCGTTTGTGTATAGCCTTCCATGTGCCTAAGTGGAAGAAGAACAAAAACTCTCAAGCAACTAAAACAAAAAAAAAAAAAAAAGGTTTTTACTCAAAAGTCTCCCCTCAATTAGATCACTCTGATTTTTTATATTTTATTTTTTAAATACATTTTGGGAAAATATCGATTATATTTTTGTCAGTATATTTGTAAGCTTTTGTGGTGAATATCTAAGACTTTTGTAAATATATCAATGTCTTTAGCATAGGAGGGGCTAAACTACTCGTGAGTATTCGTATTATAACATAAACAATATATTTGCCAAAATTTTATATCCAAAGGTTTTATCTGTGCTCGGGATGAATACAAGGTTAACTTCTATCAATGACTTCACGGAATGATAGTTGAACTGTGGAAAATGCATGCTTAACTATTGAAAAGTTAAGTCTCATCTCATTACACATAACCACGAATATATAAGGTGTAGAAATGGATTAAGTGTTTTCCTTTTCCCTTTTATAACAATAGTTCCTTTTTAAACTACATTATATAATATTATTGTGAAACTAATCTCGAATAGAGCTATATTAATTAAGTATTGTTATAATTTTAAGGTGAAAAATAGGGTTGTAAAACACCAGTGTAATTATACGCTCAACAATGAAAATGTAGGTCATGTTCCTTTTTATTTCACTTGTGGTCTCAATAAATTGTAAAGCAGCCACCAAATTGAGAATGTAAGAATACCATTCATTCTTTTTGTTTTTTTTCTAGTAAAGAAAAAAAGAGAATATTTATAAGAGAAAACTTTCCAAATCAATACAGAGCAGACACACACACACACACACACATATATATATATATGTTTGTGTTTGTATTTTTGTAATTATTGACTTATTTACGTGTATATAAACAGCAATTAATATGTAGCATAGGGATCATGATAGACCACACACCATATCGTTCTTCATTTCCCTTTCTAGAGACTTCTGGTCACTCGGTTTCTCTAAAATGGTTTAGTGCGGTAGCTTTCGTTGACGTTGACTTAAAGATATTATTGCCGGCCCATATATAATAAAGCTAAGTGAGCATAAAGGGGGAACTCAAAGATAAACCATATCATAATCAAGGGGAGAACTAGAAAGTATTTACCCTAACAAGCTTTCAATTACTTAATTATAATGATGGAGCCAAAGGATATGAACGAAAAGTGAAAAGAAAAATATTAAAGGTAAAGAAAAGACAGAAGGAAAAAAACGTCGTCGTGGGAAAAAAGAGGAATGGGTAAAAATACTCACGCTTTTTATTATATATAAACTTTTTGCAAATCAGAAAGGAGACGTTTGGTTCATGGATTCAGAATCATGATTTAAAACTATTCTCATTTTACGTGTATTTTTTGTAAGAGAAAATACTGTAGTGAGTCACGAACCATGATTTGAATCATGAGACGAATCCCCCTTCCAAATGTCCCCTAGTTTCTTCGTAATTTTTTTTTTCTTTTTTCTTTTTCATCGATAAACACCTTTTGAGATCGGGAGAACCCGAGACTTGAATGCTCATAACCACTCAATCTAACCCCTCTTACTGTTCTTTGTAAATTTTTAATATTAATAAATTATTTTTTAAAATTAAAATATTACAAAATACGCACAAGGCATATATTGGAATTTAGAGATATAACGAAAAAACTTGTCATTTACGTGATGGAAAAGAGGCATTTTAATGACGCACCAAGTACTGTCTATAACATGTAGGGTTTAAATTAGGGAGCACGTAGGAAATAAGTGTAACATTGCATATCCAGTCTTGTGTTAGGGCAAGGGTGCTTATAATAGGATGCTCCGGCTGTAAAGATTTCTAATTATATATCAAAATACTTGGTGAAGACAACTTTAATTTGAGGAGAAACATGTAATAAAGTTGGACCTGAACGTAAAATATATATAGGAAACCATGGAATTTCTCTAGATTATTCCATGTGCTTTTGCCATTTTGTGATTCTCATGGAAGCTTTTGGTGGGACAAGGCCTAAGCCTACCTTTTAATGATGAAAGAGAGGAGTGCATTTATGGTGGAGAATGCCATTTTATACTACTGATACGAATTAAGTTTTACTCATTGAATTGGTTTTTCAACAATCTGATTTGAAGTTGGGACAGTAGTTTTGTGTTGCGTAAATTTTTAATGCGGACATGCACAGATCTGATTGTTAAAAGCTAATCTAACAATTAAAAACCACAAATTTTACCGGTGGAACAAAAATGAATGTACTACCACCCCTTATTATCATGAAGGGAATTTTGCTTCTGTCACGTGTTGAGGCACAGAGCAGTTCCACGCCTTTCACTCTAAGAGAAGTCTTTCGAAGAGTATTTTATGCATCCTGAGCATTTTGTTTCACGGAAAAAAAAAATAGTGGTAAGAAAAGAAAAAATACGGTAAATATCCATTTGAACTAGCGTACATAATTTAATGGGCGAAATGAATCGTTTTTAAAATTTAAATATATGTTAAAACAAGTTTAAAGGGGCATTATAAAATTAATCTAAGTTCGATACGGTAATATCTCCCTCTCCATCTTTCTTGTTTTTGGAAAAAAAAATCAATGTCTCATCCTGTTTCCATTTCCTCCGTCATAATAATAAATATTTTTGCACGCTTTCAATAATATTTTTGCATCTCTCATTATTGAACCGATAGCTAGCAAAACTAAAAAGTAAATTAAGAATGTACTTAAGTGGGGTTGAATTAAAGATTTTTATTGTTTCCATGAGTCAATTAACAAGAAAAAGAAAGCACCATTATTAAACTTAAAAAAGAAAAGCACCATTATTGGCGTTCTGCTATATGCTTGGCACGTTATCATATTATGAAAGGCACAATTATCATAATTGAAAAAAATGGTAGGATTGTTTTTTTTCAGAAGATTTTCACTCACCTTTTCATTGTTTGTTTAGAAACACAATAAACAAAAATATTAACTAATAAGTTTTAACGCATAGAAAAGAAAGTAAAATATGCGTAGTCATTATTTTTAACGAATCACAAATGCACACAGTTATTAAGGATTTTTTTTAACTGTCTTTCACCGTAGATATATATTTTTCAAAAGATCATTTCTCTACACATAACCAGTATAAATTCAGTGCAAAATAGTGTATATCTTATATAACAATAAATTTTAAAAGGAGTATACCACTTTTGTTATACTTTTCTATTATCATTCTTATGTAATTTATGTCTTTTTTCACCTTAATCCTAGTTATATAGTATCCATGATCAATGTGTATATAAAAATATAGAAAAACACTATTGCTAAGACAAATACACGTGTCAAACAACCACACCAATCGCACCAAAATCCCATGCACTCAAACGCCAACCACAATGAATATATGGATTCCTCCCACAATCTTCCACCAACTCCTTTTTTCCCTGCCTTTATATATCATTCTCACCCTAACTCGACCCTATTCCTTGCCACACCGAAAAAACCTGTCTCTCTCTCTCTTTATAGTTCCTCACTCTTTGTATCGCCTCCTCCACTCGCTCCCGCCCGAGCCATGGCCCTCACGCGCGCCATGCTCTTCCTAACTCTCTCCCTCACCACTCTCGCCGCACTCTCCTCCGCCCAAGCCCCCGCCTCCGCCCCCACCTCCGCCCCGCCTTCCTCTATTTCCACCCCTCCAACGGCAAGCCCACCAACGAAAACACCAAGCCCACCAACGATGACGCCACCAACCGCTACACCAAGCCCACCAACGGCAGCACCAAACCCACCAATGGCAGCACCAAGCCCACCAACGGCAGCGCCAAGCCCACCAACGGCAGCACCAAGCCCATCAACGGCAGAACCAAGCCCGCCAGCCCCCACGGCAAGCCCACCGACAGAAGCCACCCCACCGACAGCAGCCAACCCACCATCGCCCACGGCCACCCCACCGATGACGGCAAGCCCACCAAGCATGGCAAGCCCACCGGCAGCCGAGCCAACTCCGGCGAGCGGGCCCGGCCCAGGAGGTCCCGAAGGCCGATCAGCAGGGTCCCCGTCAGTACCGGCTCCTGCGGGAGGCGCCAAGCCGCCGGCCACGACTCCGGTGGGGTCAACGCCGGACAACGGAAGCATGAACGTTAAGGGAAGTAAGATGGTTTTGGTGGCGTTTTTGGGAGGAGTTGCACTCCTCCTCTAAATTTGATATGAATGTAGATTTTTCAGATATTTATTTGTGTACGTATTCTTTGCTTTTGAGATATGTTTTTTTTTTTAAAATTTATTTTCTTGTTCTGTTTTGTATGTTTTTTTTTTTTTTCCTTTTTTTATTGGGACATTTTTATGAATTCTTGGGAGTCTCCGTATTGTGAGTTGCAAGGGTTAGTCGTGATGTTTTGTAGCATTTTGACTTAGCAGAATAAGTGAGACTTGATTCTTGTTTGTGTTTCAGTTATTGATTATATTATGTTGTGTACGTACAATCACTAGGAGAAAAGAAAAATAGAGAAACTACATTGTCATATTTCTGAAGGTGAGGCATTTTGTTCATATGAGTTTTACAAAACGTTTTTTTTTTTCTTTGTGACTCTTAAAAGAAAAAAAAAACTGTATTTAAATTTTTTCTGGAAAGCATATAAATATCGTCCTAAAGAAGAATAGTTTCTTTCCATTTTTGATAAAAAAAGTAAAAAAGAAAAGAAAAGAAAGTTTCTTTGGTAGATAAAAATATATATAATCAGGTTCATTTAACTTAAATTGTCATATTTTATTTAAGGTGATATGATTCTGATTTGATATGAAGTACTAAACGGGTAAAACTGTACTTATGGTATTTTTTTTTATACCACACCACAAATTCTTCTTTCTTTTTATTTTCTTTTAAGAAATTTTATGATTATGCATAAAAACACACCCCACTAGTAGAGCATAATTTTTAAATTATAGGGCCTTTTAGATTAAAATAAAGAATGACAATTTAAATAATGTTCCGAAAAAAAAGCTCTCAAAACAATGCTCCATTGATAGGATAGTATTTATAACTATTAAATTTTCATTAGGTCCCGTTACATTATCGTACCTTATAATAATTTAATATAATTACATTATCATACCTTATAATAATTTAATATAATTTTTATTTGATTTGACGGTAAAAATTTATATCTACATCAAATAGTGAAAAATTGTGTGCTACCGACAGTATACTCTTTTTTTTTTTTTTTTTGATAGTATACTTTTCATATAACTTAGCACATAATTTTCATCATTTTCTGTCATGGAGACTTTGATGCATAAGAGTCACAAAGGGATAACGCATCCACAATATTCCGGAATGCTCATAATGCATACACCAAAAATATTGAATCCCTTTATAAGTTTTTATTTTATTTTATTTTATTTATTTATTTTTAAATAGAGGGAAACTCCCTTCATAAGATTTAGCATGCATTTTATTAACATTCAATAGTTAAGAAACTTAAGCAGTAATGACAAAGGCTTGCTTTCTCTCTTGTTTCGGTCTAAAATATTAGACACAAGATATATAGAAACATTATTAGCTATTGTATATTGTAATATCATAACAAAAGAAATCCTCTTATAAAATGACACATGTACTCCACAACCGTAGCTTTCTGAAAGGCATAACCAACTAACAATTTTTTATTTTTTTTTTATTTTTATTTTTTATAAAAAAGGAAAAGGCACCAAAAAAGGGAAAAAAAAGAGAAAGAAACTTTAGTAGAAAGTTTGTTGAGGATGCTTGAGAGGGGAGTAGATGGGGAGAGTAATGAATAGGTGGAAGAAGGGAATAAGAGAAGAAAGATAAAAGGTAAGGTGCTTAGCTGTATAGGGTAGAAATATGTGGTGGTGGTGAATATATACTGAATTTTGCTTTGGGAATTTATCTTGGACTTATTATTATGGGAGAGGAAGCTACTATAGGGGAAGGAAACCATCAAAAGAAGAAGTTGGCCTTTTATGGTGGGAAGCATATGAGGAAACATTGGTTTGTCATGGTGGGGGCAAATATGTGACAGATAATACTACTTCATCTCTATGAAAGTGACATGCACATGGTGTTTTAGCCCCACCAATATTTATGACTTTGAGAGTGACTAATTAGGGAGATTTTTTTTTTTTTTTTTAGTAATTCTTAATGTATACACACACACATGAACAGTTTAATGTTTATGGCTCTCATTTTTATTAATAAGAAATGAAAACACCGAGAGTCGAACTCTTATAAACACGTTAAGCACTCATGCATCTAACCATTTGAGTTAACTTTAAGTGGGTTTTGAGTAAGGCTGGTTGGTATTGTTCTAAATACCAAACTAGTTTAGTTATTATATTTTGGATATAAACTAACGTGACTATCCAAGTACTAATCTAGATTTATTTTCATAATCATTGGAAGTATTTAGCATTGCCAAGTACTAATTTTGGATATCGAGCAAACTTGTTTAGTTATTAGTTTCATTGCCAAGTACTTCTTTATCATCATTTGAAAAAAGGGCATGACTTATGTTTTGTTGTTATTCAATTAAACTAATAGCCATTTGACGCCTGAATTATAAGGGAACGAGTACGTAATCTCATCAAGGCAATCATTCTTTCCTCTCTAACATAGAGACAATACTCAATAATGTTAGTGCTCATGGTTAAATTGATTCCAACCAATATGAAATCATAAATACAATTATCACACGCACATAAGATTCAAGCCCTTTTAATAAACTTTCGTTTTTGGTAATTAACTCATAAGCGTCATATATATATATATATGCAATATTAGCACTTAGTACCGTTATAGTTAGGGCTGTACATGAGTTGGGTTGGTGTGGGATAAGGTTTTTTTTTTTGTCGCGCCCTAAAGGGTGTGATTTGCACATATTTAGCCCCAACGATGTTAGAAAAATTTCACAACCTAATAATATTTGGGTTGGGTTGGGTTGGGGCAGGGTGTGGTAGGTTGTGTTCAACATTCAATAAAAAAAGGTTTAATCCAACATTCAAAGTTTATCATCAAATATAAATAATAACTCCAACATTCAAAATTCATCATCAAATAATACTGATCATCAAATAGAAATAATACTGATTATCAAACATAATTCCAACATTCAAAGTTCATCATTAAATAGAAATAATACTGATCAGTCCATCATCAAATAGATAGCAATTGAAAGTTTAATCCAACATCAAACATGAGGCAAAGTAGTCCATCCAATATGAAGCAAGGGTTAGAACTTAGAGGACATGACCTAAGCATGTTTGTGCGGGTTGAGTTGAAGTTTGCGGGCTATTATAAGTCCAACCCACAAACCGCCTCAAACACCTCGGGCCAGACCTTTAGTAGGCCAAAAAATAAAAAATAATGTTACAAATTACCGTTTTCAGGTTGGATTGGAGTGTGGTGGATTGGGTTTGCAGCTTGTTCAGGTTTATGAACATCCCTATTTATAGTCAAACATAACTTCTTATGTAATTGGGGAAGAAAAAGTTTGTTTGTTTTTTTTTTCTTTTTTTTTTTTTTTTTTTTTTAAAGCATTGGATCCTCTAAATGGGATAATGCAAGAATCATCTGCCCCTTTTCATCTTTATTACGTGTTTTTTTTTAATTATTTTTTTGAGCCTTTTATTTTGGCCTTTTTATCCACACAGTCACGATACAAAAGCAACCATTCCACACCATTGGTTATTTGGTGGCATGGCAAGGCTTTCCTTTCTGAAAAAATTCCGGGTACGCAATACTCCTTCCACTGCGGTAAGAAAAATGTATGAATAATTCACTTCAAGAGGAATTTATATCACATGTGGATCACTTGTTTTACAGGAATTATCATTGTAGGTCACTTTTTTCCCCCTCAAAATGTAGGTCACCTTCTACTCTTATAACTTATTATTATTATTATTATTGAAGCAAAATTTCATCCAACACTTATCTAAACTAATAATTCGGGTTGAATAAGCAAATTATCTAAGGAAATTAAATGAACACTCGAAAAACACAAAGAACCTCTAAAGGAATAATAAAAACAAAATGAAGACAGCCACAAGACAATTGTATTCAGAAATGAATGTCCATCATTTCCTCTCAAATTGAAGGACTTTATAGTACATTAGAATTGAGGAAGTTTAATTCTTCTATTAATTCAAGAGTTTATTCTCTCTTAATTACAATGAGGCTCTTCACTTTTTTGTGAGGTAAAACTGGTAAATAATCAATGAGAATTAACTTTTAACCATTCAATGTCTTCAATTAGCGTCGGTTACTTCTCTTGATAACATCACGCGACCTTTGAACTTTCGGCTTGGGAGAGCTTGGGCTCGGGAGAGCTTGGGCTCGGGCGAGCTTGGGCTCGGGAGAGCTTGGACTTCGTCGAGATAATTATAATAATAATAATTATTATTATTATTATTATTATTATTAGTATTCTTCTTCTTCTTGATAACATCTATTGTTATTATTATTATTGTTGTTATTATTATTGTTGTTATTATTATTATTGTTATTATTATTATTATTATTATTATTATTATTATTATTAAACAAGGCAACCTTTCATTGAAATGATTGAGATAAATTTTAATCGTGATAAATTTACAACAAAATCTTTCTGTTTCCTTTTTTGGACATAAATTTTAGCATTGTTGCTCTAAGCACCCAAAAAAAATTTTCTTTTCGAATTTAGAGATGATGGAGTTTGACTTAAAGATTTTGGAATTACAAATATCTGCAACTATAAGTTTTGAAGATTGAAATAAACATAAAATTGACATGGTCGGCAATTTTCATTTTCAGCATAATCAAAATAAATTATGATCATTAATTAGAGGGCATATTTATTAACTATAATGCAAGAGAAAGATAATGAGTTTGAAAGGAAAGTAAATGAATAAAAACGGGGCCATTATTTCCTTCGTAATGTTTACGTATATGTTGGATAGAATGGGATAATAAATCAATTCTCTCTGTTTTTTTTTAAAGGAGGAATCAAATCTCTTTATAATGTTTACTAATTTTAGGAATAAAAATCTTATTTAGTTATTATTTTTTCATATAATTAAACAATTATTAGTTTAATATGTGAACTTATCAAGTGTGTATAATTAAATTTAATATTTATTCATTAAATGATAATAAATTAATATATTTAGGGATCATATTAAATAAATATATTTAGGGATAATATTTTCTCCTATAGATGCAAACTTTGTTGGGACCCGCCCCTAATGGAGTGGGGATGTGGAATGCTAATGTGATTTGAGGCAGCCGTCCCACTTGAAATTTTTTGGCTTTTGATTTTGTATCTATATTTTGCTAAATATACATTTTTCACCTCTCGTTGTTCTTTTAGAGTATAACTTGAGTGTAGTTTTTAAGTTGAATTTGAGTTATAACTTGAGTTGAAGTTAGAACTTGAATAAAGTTGAGTAAAATTGAATAAAGTTGAAACTTAAAAGAACGTGAACTTGAATAAAGTTGAAACTTGAGTTGTCTTTTTTTGAGTTTTGTTGGAGAAAAGAACATGCCCTAAAGTCTCAAATTATATGTTCGCCTCCATTCCAAACTTGAGTTATATGTCCACCCCCTCACTTATTTTGTTGGCCCCGTCCTTGGGGACAACCTTTTGTTGTCGAATTGCAGTTGGCCTGAGGATGATGAGTCTTCTCCCCACCCCGTCTCTGTCCCGGTGCACTTTTTTTTTTTCTTTTTGAAATACGACAATTTCATTAAAGAGCCACTAAAAGATTAAGATACAAGGCCACACATATAAAAACGGTTGTCACTCACATATTTAGACATTATAAACGCACATCTAATATGACAACGGAAGGTATTTCTCTAAATAATAGCGCTATAATAAGATTCAACTATATATAAATAACTCAAAATGAGCTAGATTCTAGTCTCATAATGGACCTTAAACACAACTCAGAAAGGTGTCGCTGGTGTACACTTTTAAGAAAATGTATATACATTAGTTTTTTTAAAAAAATGTCTATTTAGTATTAATCTAATCCTAATATTGTTATTTATATATATTGTTAAATTTTGGTTTGTTTTGTAGGGTGTGTTTGTTTTACGAGTTTGAATCACGGTTTAAATTTTTTTATTGTATTGTTTTCTCTAAAAAAAAATTAAATATCTGTTCATACTTATGAATCAAATGACACCTAAATTTAGATTGAAGTAATGATCATTTCAACTAATTTTTTGTTTATAACTTATTAAAATTTTTATTGACAATAAACATATGATGAGGAGGGAAAGGCCTCCAATGGGATCTCTAGACTCAGTCCCCACCTCTTCTTATTGGAGATGGGGGAGGCGATAGGGCTAGAAATCATTCCCCGGCTCCGGTCCACCTTGTTGTCGTCCTTATCTATATTGTTCGAGCTTCACCAAATTACTGTGTGATTGTGTCTAATTTTATAAGTAAACTTGTGACAAATACAAACGGAACACTGCATTTTTTCCCTTTCAGTACGGGTTTGGACTACCCTTTACATAATGCATGTGCACATGACACCTCAATGCAATCAATACCGACTAGACTCCAGCATAAAATGAAAATATATACACATATAGGACAAATTTTATAAATTCCTCCTCAACATTATCATTTGTGTTAATATATCCTCTGAATTTTAAAATGTGTATGTTGTACTTTTTAAATTTTATTATTTGTGTCAACATGCCCCCTGAGTTAACTCTGTGAAGTTTTTTAACAGAAATGCTTCCCTGAATTTTGTCATTTGTGTCAATATGTCAATTGAACTTTAAAATGTACCTATTTTGTCCCTCAAAATATGATGTCTCCAACTTTCTATCTTCTATCTTGATTCTATTAGTTTTTTAAACGGAAATGTTGATATAACCATTAAATTGTTAATTATCTATGATATTTGAGGTTTATTGAGTACATTCTCCTCTAAAAATGTTAGTTAAGCACCAATTCTCAAATATTAGTTGATTAGAGACAATAAAGAGGGACAAAATGAGGGGTAAATTTGTGTAATGTAATAAATTTTGTTAGTTTTTTTTCTTGATATTTCACATAGATATAAGTACTCGAAATAAAACATGTCTATATTTTATACATATATAGTATTTCGAAATCTAAATGCGTTCAAGTCATTTATTTTATTACACCTTTTAGAAAAATTAACACAAACCGTAAGAAACCCATTAACTTAATAAATTTTAATGGTCAAATATCATAGATAATTAATAATTTAATGGTCATATCAATATTTTCGTTTAAAAAATTGAGAGATTCAAGATGAAAGGAGAAAAGTTAGAGACATATAATAGTTCGGAGAGCAAAATAAGTACATTTTAAAGTTTAGAGGGCATATTGACATATGTGACAAAGTTCATGAGGTGTTTATAAACATTTTCGTTAAAAAGTTTAATAGAGTTAACCTTAAAGAATATGTTAACATAAGTGATAAAATTTAAGAAATATAATATGTATATTTTAAAGTTCAGAAATCACGTAGATAGATGTGTGAGAAATTTCAGGAAGTTATAAAATTTGTCCATACATATATATCCCGACTAGACATCGGTGGGCCTTGATTGGGCTCTAACTTGCCCATCATCTGACATGCCAGAGCCAATAGGGCCCAGTAATTTACGGGCCTTACCCACGTGTTTTCAATCGGGCACTGCAATATTTACACGGAAGAAAGGAAGAAATAGGCCAAGATGAATTAAAATTAAGGGAAATAGTAAAAAATATGTCAATATGAAAAATTTAAGAAAGTATATAGGCTAATTTTTAGTTATAGAAATTAATATGCCATAACTTGTCAAGTTATGGTTCATAATCGAATAAGTTATGGATAAATTTGTCAAGTTATGGTTCATAGCCAGACAAGTTATGGATAAAAACTGTGAATAACCTGTTAAGTTATGGTTCATAACCAGACAAGTTATGGACGAAAACAGTAATTTAGCCTATTTATTAACTTATGTAAACTATTGGCCTATTAATTTTAATTTATCTCAAGTCTTGGCTTATTTTCTTTTTTCTCCCTAAAATTAATAAGTTAATAGTTTACATTAGTTAATAAATAGGTTAAATTATTATTTTTGTTCATAACTTGTCTGGTTATAAACCATAATTTGATAAGTTATTGTCCATAATTCACGGTTTTTATCAATAACTTATCTGACTATGAATTATAATTTAATAAGTTTGTCCATAATTTATCTGATTATAAACCATAACTTAAAAAGTTATGACCTATTAATTTCTATAACTAAAAATTAGCCTATATACTTTTTAAAATTTTTCATATTGACTTATTTTCTACTATTTCCCTATTTATATCTTCATCTCTGTAACTCCATTTCAGGCAAAACAGAGGTAAAAAGATTGACTTCCATTAGCTGACCCAACATCTTAATTTTCCACATCAAAGAGACAAATGTCGTGTTTCGGGCAATGTGAATTTTAAATGAACGCAAATTCACTCTTCTCAACCTCTCTGCTGAATCACCAGATGAACTTCACATTATAAACTTACACAAATGATGTTTTTTAAAGGGGTGAAAAGAGATAAATATCTCTTAAAAGTATACGAGATTATATTTGTATTTTTTATTCTTTTTTAATAATATTTTAGTTAAATAATTATATTAATTAAAGACATTTAATTAAGAATAAATAATAAAAATTAAGACACATTCATTAAGTAAAGTTTAGTAATTTTCTGTTTTCTCTTTTTGCTTTCCGCTCCTCTTTTCTTTTTTAAGTTTCAAGTTTTATAATGAAAGCAACATTATCTTGGGAAAAAAAAACTTATCCTCCGCAATTAGACAAAAATAGTCTGGAAACATTCATTTAACTAAGATAACAACAATTTACAATAGTAATTAATTAACACTGTAAAGAAAAAACTACCTTTCTCCTATTCATATTTACTATCCATACTTTACTCTTTTTCTTATCACACGGAGTGTAACTGTAAGAGAATCTCCACACAAAACACAGACATAATAGTACGTTTCCCCCACACAAAAGTGAGGAAAGCCTTTTGTTTTCCAACGTTGCTGGAACAAAAGGGTTTTCAATCACGACAAAAATAGTACAAGCTCAAATTCAGCCAAAAAAAAAAAGGTACAAGAAGTGCTCATTTTTGTGCTTTGCCTAGTTGGACCATTATGATATTTATATATTTTGTATTTATGATTTGCAGTCTACTGAAACAAGAAACGGCCCACTTCTCAACATTGCTATGTCTATTTTTTTTTCCTTTTATAATTATTATTGGTTAATCACTTGTTGCCAATCACTTAAGAGACCTGCAATACATGGTACATTGCTAACTCAAAACAACGTACGGGCACATGATCTGCTAAGCCACGAACCAACAGCAAAAGTACGATTGAGAAAGAGATCTTCATTTTCATATTGGCCATCTTTAATAACTTGTACTGTATAAAGCGTATTACATTGTGTTGTATTGCCATAATACAATACATTATTTAATGTCATGATGTATTGTATAAAGAATTAAAATGTAAATTTTTAAAATTTAGGGCCAAAATATAAATTTTCAAATGTTTTGGGGTTAAATATAATTTTGAGATAAAAATGTAATTTTATAAAAATTTTGAGGTCAAAATGTAATTTTATAAAAATTGAGGAGCTAACATGTAATTTTTTAAAAAAATATAAATTTGCATTGTGTCCCTCAATTTTTAAATATATATAAGCTCCGGCATGACTCTATGTCAACCTAACCCCAACCCTCATGCCCAACAAAGAGATGAATCATGAATCCGTTATAAAATAATACAATACACAAAAAATTTTTTTTAAAAAAATATAAATTTGCATTGTGTCCCTCAATTTTTAAATATATATAAGCTCCGGCATGACTCTATGTCAACCTAACCCCAACCCTCATGCCCAACAAAGAGATGAATCATGAATCCGTTATAAAATAATACAATACACAAAAAATGAGCCGTATTCAATAATACCGTATTAATTTATCATCCGTATTAACTTATACAATACGATGATCACACAAAACATTATATTGTTATATTTTATACAATACGATACTCTAATACGGTCAAATAAACATACTCCTTGTGTTTTGGCTTAGTTTAGTTTGGCCACGTTGACGTTTCACAAGAAATAGGACTGTAAAGAAATGATGTAAAGGCCACGAAACCACGCATCTTTAACTGCTTTCATATTTTTTGGAGGGAATTCTCCGGTAGAACCTGTTTTTTTAACCACTAATAGTTACTGTTGTTTTAACCGTTAGATTATATTTTTTAACGGTTTGATCTATGGTTGTAGCTACAAATTTTCAATGCAGACATTCACAAACGGTTAAACCAACAGTAACTACCGGTAGTTGAAAGACAGGTCTTACAGTAAAAATTCCCTTCTTAAGAAGCTATTAAGTTTAATTTTTCTGTATGGTGGTCTGGATATTACATATTATTGAACCTTGTGACTAGTACGCATGAGTGGACAATATTTTTTTACGGCGAGTTGTGGAACCAAACCAAAGTTTAAATCCATGGTGAGAGAAGTATATGTGAAAACCTCGTTGTTGGTTAGGGCACTTGAATGATTGTCTACAATCATTTGCACCTATTTTTTCCTTTGTCTTCTTCTACACTCAAAACAATCAGAACATGGAGATTGGTTTGTACTTGAATAACTTGTTTGCAGCTTGGCAGGCGGTATTTTCAGTTCTTCCACTAGTATTTGGCGAAGCTTTTCGTTCTCCTCCTTGAGCTCCTCAATGACTTGCTGGTGTTTCAGTACCTGATGGTTTATGCGAATTCAATGAATTGCCAAACACGGATAGAAAATAAGCTAAAAACTAAATAAGTTTATTCGTAAAAATTTGCAAGGCATTTTGTATGCGTGTGTGACAAATAGAATGAACATTTTTAAGAGTTATAAACTGAGTACTTCAGTGGGAATGATGTACTGTGTAGATTCTAGGTCCGAATCTTGACAATAGAAAACTATGGTTGGAAAGTACCCAAAAAAAAAAAAATGCTATGTAAGCCGAAAACAAATTCATATGACACGATTGGGAATATCATCAAGTGGAAAAAGAAACAAAAAGTCAACTGTAAAATTCACTTCATTGACTTGAAAACCAATTTAGTTACCTGGGTAGGGATGAATAACTAGTTCCAGTCAAATAACCTGGATATTTGCTACTTAGACAAATGTAATATCCATGAATAACAGAAGTTGATGTCTTTAAGCAAAAATCTAGAGTTCCTAGAGTCGGTTATAACTTATCAGAAATATGCTATGATGGCGATCAATGGATCAGTCGCTTGCTTAAAGAATGAAAAATAATTAAGCATTTGAATGAAAGCAGCTAGTTGTCTGTGTTGAAAATTACCATGTAAAGCATGTCATTTTCTGACCTCAACCGTCCACCCTGCAAGGTTAAGCTTAAACTATTAGTATTAATAATACTCGTGATTATCAAGAAAGAAAATAAAACTCACAAGCAAAGTGGAAGGTAGAAAAAAGTTTACCGCACCCTATTATTGTTTACTTGGAAAACTATCCTTTTCAACCAAAAAGCTAGCTAAATTCTAGTCTCGAGAAGGTTCTGAAGTGATGGATAAAATAAGCATTCTCAAAGAAAAGGGAAACCCTTCTAAAGCAACACAGAATGCGAGAACATCAACATACAAAGCAAAAAGATAATACATGAACTCGTTCTATTCACGACATACCACTTCATTTAGTTCCCTTCCTTCTCCTTTCACAATTGGATTCTGCAGAAAACTGCTGAGAACCTTTTCTGTACGAGTACCAAAGGCTGCGTCATTTGAAGGTGTTGTCGATGTAATATTTCCATAATTTGTACCAGCACTTTTATTTTCATATCCAGGCAGGCCTTGAGACAACTGGTCCGGTAGTTTTGTTGCCAACTGCATCATACTTCCCATTGGATTTTGGGTTGAAAGATTATTCACCATGCTCATACCTCCTTGCAAAGAACTTGGAAGGGCACCTTGACCAATAGGTAGATTGGGAGACATCCCAAACTTCATCATCATCTTTGTCATCGCTTGCTAGCAAAATTTGGAGCATCAATTTCAGGTCTACCCTTAGCTAACAATGATAAATAATATAGCACGACAAGAAAAGACAATACATACTGCAATACAGAATTGAATTTGATGCAACGCACTAGGCTTCAGAGCAAGGCCTGCCGTGGGAGGACGACGTTTACGACACAATTCAAGTTGAAAAATGAAGGAAAGTTTTACCACTTATTAGTTCCTAATATCATGACATACCAACTCCAAAACCATGGCCAATACCAACTCCACATCCAATGCCAGCTTCAATGTTTTTAGCCCCCAGCTTCTTAAACTGAACAAATGAGAAAAGAAATACAACAGGTTAGTAAATGGTTCATCAGTTAAATGTTGTTTTCATTCATTTCCTACTTTTGAATTGTGGATGCAAGGTAAAAAAGTAAATTAAAATAACAGGAAACAAATTGACTTACTGAGTCGTTTACATGTCTAGTAACACCAGAAAATGCATAAGTTGCACCTCTTGCGGCACTCATTACTTCATTTAATACAGGTATTGCACCTGTACATGGTTTAATCAAAACGTTGTTAACTAATATCAGCTACAAACAATGGTAGAAGAAAAAAAAATCAGTAAACTTATCAAATTGTCAATTACATTAACATAACAAATTGCATCACCTTTACACTAAACTAAGGGTTCTATGTCTGAAAAAGATTAACTATCACTAATTAACAACTACTAGCACTGTACAGATTATCAAATACCAAAAACGCTAATTGAAGGATTTTTAATCTATAAATGCGCAGAGACAAATGGGCAACTTCCATTTACTGAAATCCATCTCAGGAACTAAACATAGCTAAAAACAACAACAATGGAGAAAAGATTGAAGTACACGGCTTCTTAGCCTCCGGGTTCAAATGGGTTTCACCATTTTTGGGTTTGAAAAGCTTCCCTAAGTCCATATTCAACAATAACACTGCTAAAGCTAGAGAGAGAGAGAGAATGGGAAGGTAAATACAAAAAATACCAAGATTTAAGGGGCGACCAACGCCGATACCAATACCGCAGCCGATTCCAAAGCCAGTAAATACTTGACCCACTTTCAAAGTAAACGGATTCCCCAATCGGATTCCTTCACTCTCTCTTCTCTGATTCGTAATCACCATTCCACTCTTACTACTATTCTCCATTCCCTTTAACAATAAACTTCCTTCCCTTTCTCTGCTCTTCTTTTCTCTCTCTCTCTCTACCTCAATAGCTAAACTCTCTCTCTCTCCATGTAAAAGTTAAAGCTTCACACTTTCACTCAAACAACGACGAATCCTCTTTCCCTCTCGGAGCGAAGGGAAGAGAGGTTCCCTCTTTGCCTGCTACGAAATATTGAGGAACAAGGGAAACACTACTGCAAGTTTGGTCTGGGTCAAACGGATCGCCCAGAGCTGGGCTCTTCGACTCTATTGGGCCCTCAGACCGTGCCTCATGCTTTGGTTCAAAATGCATTTGGGCCTGTAGTTATCATTATTTTTTGAAATTTTGCATAATTTTCATAATATAATAAATATAGCAAAAATGACATAATCATTATCATAATGATCCCATATGTAATGATATAATCAAAATTTTCTATTTTTTTAATATTTTAAAAATTTTACTATATTTAAACTCTACTATTGAAATATTGCTAGATGCGTAAAGAGCACTTTATTTATTTACACTACCTTATAAAAATACGGGCCAGTCTGGCCCCATGTAAGATTTTGAGTAGCACCCGGCCTGTTTCACTGGTCTGGTAGCCCAAACTTACACCGCTAGTACTTATAGGTCGGGTTGATGATAAAATTGGGTCCAACTCTGCCCTTCTCCGATGACTCAAATTGAGATAGTTAAAATGCTCAGAGCAGTCTGGGGATCAAACTCATCCACCTATTTTTGGGAATCACCACCGATAGAAAGAGAACGGCCTTCGTTGTGTATGAAGCAAGGATAGAGACACATTAAATAGGTGTTTGGTATGAGGATTTGTGTCATGGTTTGAATCATGATTTGTGGCTCGCTACAATATTTTCTCTCACAATAAACACACGTAAATCAAGATTGATTTTAAATCATGATTCTGAATCCGTGAACCAAACATCCACAAAGATAAGATTAATGGCTGATATTAGTTTAGGTTTTTTATTAATATTTTATTTAATAATTAAGGCACAAATAACAATTTTGACCCTTTAGAACCCCATATGTGAATGGAACACGTCTACTTCCGTCCATTTTATAATAGTGGTTACCCAAATGGGATTAGTTGTGATTGTTAAGTAAGTTGAGGGGGTTGATAGCTAAAATTAAAAGTTTGGGAGTAATTTGTCAAAATCGCGATAAGTTTAGGGGGCAAATATGATATAAACTCTTTAATTTATTAAAATAATTTCAAAGTTATTTTGAAATAAGAAGTTTACTTTTATAAGTAAAAGCTTAATAAGTATGACAAACAAGTTAAAGCATGTTGTTTAGATAAAGGGAGAAAGAGAGAAATATGTTAAGACTTAAGATGAATTAAAATTAATAGGCCAATAGTTTACATAAGTTAATAAATAGGCCAAATTATTATTTTCGTCCATAACTTGTCTGGTTATGAACCATAACTTGACAAGTTATTGTCCATAACTTATCTGGTTATGAACCATAACTTGACAAGTTTGTCCATAACTTATCTGGTTATGAACTATAACTTGACAAGTTATTGTCCATAACTTATCTGGTTATGAACCATAACTCAACAAGTTATGACATATTAATTTCTATAACTAAAAATTGACCTATATACTTTCTTAAACTTTTTATATTGGCATATTTCCTACCATTTTCGTTAGATAAATGAGTTTAGAACATTAGTTTTATTTGGGTTAGAAAATTAACAGATCAGTTTGGTTCGTCTGTCCAAGGATTTTCTATTGGTCCAATGTTTGATATAATCAACAATTAGTAGGGTGGCTTAGTAGTATGGTAACATCAGTGGTCTAAGGTTTTAGTATTGAGTGATTCTCTTTGAGGATATAAAGATTTACGTCTATCAATTTAATATTCGATTTAAAGTGTCTCAGCCCACATGTATCCTCACGTAATACATCAGTGGGTTTGAGTTGACACCTTTCTCGTCGAGAGAAAGAACGGGACACTAAAACCCTCGGCAAGCATTTTTGTCAACATTTTTAATGAGCCTCTTTTTTAACGCCAACGAGGATATGTGAATCAGATTGGTAGAGAGATTCGTTCCCTGATTCGAATTATGATTTGTGGTTCGTTATAATATTTTTTCTCATAAAAAATACACATAAATAAAAAATAGTTCGAATCACATGATTTAAATTCTCCAACCAAACGTCATCTAAATTAAGTTGGCTAGATTTTATCCACCGCACACCCCCAGTAACTAACATACAAATCATTGATCATGATTAACTAATGAAATATTTAGGGCAATAACAGAAATATAATTTTTAAAAGCGTATGATATACATGTAGAAATAACATAAAAAAAATGAGGTGAAATGATATGTCTCAACCTTACCGAACATATATTATTTTACCTAGACTTTTTTTCCTTCGCTTTCTTAAATAACTGTGGTACAACTTCGGTTGCTGACATAAAATGATTAGACAGTATATCACCAAAGTTTGGTACACGACATTAATGTTCCCTTGAGGAACAGTTGAACGTCCTTTCGAAATGGTGAAATGGTGGACAACAATCTGCCATTCCTGATTTTTTTGTTCCCTCCATCCACCGATTCGAAATGTATTTCTCAATATGTGGTGCATAGAGCACGATTCGGCTCCGACAATAGAGCCTTAAGAAGATAACACTATAGGTGTGTTTGATAAGGAGATTCGTATCTTAATTCGAATCATAATTTATGATTTGTTATAGTATTTGTTCTCATAAAAAATATACGTAAATTAAAAGTATTTTTAATCTCATGATTCTAATCCATGAACCAAACGTCTCCTATAATTTATAAGTAAATAACACTAAGTGACTCTATCTTGTGGTTCAAATTATGTATGTTCTTTATTTCTATGTGTATACAAAAAATATTAATAACCATTGAGGCGATTCCGAGGAGTGAGATTTTGCTTTTGTGCATCTAATATTTTCTTTAGAAGGTTTTTATATGTAGAGATGCAAGAATAGGTCGGCCTGGCCCGGCCCGACCCGTTCTCTTTAGGCGTACGTGGGCCGTGGGCCGAGCCGGCCTAACCCATTAATTTTGTGGGTCAGGCCGGCCCGTATAAGAATTACTTCGGCTCAGTCTACAACACGGGTAAATTTTATGTGGGCCAGGTTGGACCGTGTCGTGGGCCATAATGGGCCGTGCCATGGGCATAATAGGCCGTGCCATGGACCATCATGAGTTTAGATGGGACACCCCATCTAAGCATATAATTTTTAAATTTTTTATTTTTTATTTTTAAATTTTTAAACAAGTTAACAAATATAAAAGTTTGAATAGTCAATGGAAATATGAAAATGAATATTTTATTTATGATTGCCTCATTAAATAAAAACATTTATAAAGAAAACCCAGTGAGACAAAACCTTAGTAAAGAAAAAAGAGTACAATCATGATAATTATACATAAGATATTTACAAAATTACTAAAAAAAAGCATGAAGATATTATGAGCCTACATGGGCCAAGCTGGGCTTGGCCATTATGGGCCTAGACGGGCCGGCATAGATGGGCCGGGATGGGCCGGCCCATCATGGGCCTAGACGGGCCGGCCCAACCCGACTTGACCTATGATTTTTCATGGGCTGTGTCGGGCCGGCCAATGGGCCGATATATGTTGGGCCCAGTCCAACTCACCAATATTTATGGGCTGCGCCGTGCCTTAAACAGTGACGAGCCATGCTGGCCTGGCCCGTCACTGTATCAAGATGGGCCTGAGTCGGCCCACAAGCCCCGACGCATTGTTGCATCTCTATTTGTATGCATGATTGGATGAGCTTTCTGTGTCTAGGCCCTTTTTATTAATTATTTGTTTTCCAACTCTTTTGCATTTATAAGCTTATTTCTACGGGGCAGGCATTTGATGTTAATGCATCTTCTTGATGCGTACAAGATACGTTATACATATTGCAATCTTATCCTCAATGGCTCACTATCAAATCTAATTTATTGTTCTCAGAAAAGAAAAAAGAAAAGAAAAAAAAAAACATTTATGAACTTCATTAGGCTTGATTGTACCACTGTACCTAGGAAAATTACCAGCACCATTTGTTTGGTCATGCATCATATAGAAAGCGTTGGTCAATGACCAAATCAACACCTTTTCTTAAGCTATAATATTTCATATAATATGGTTCGAAGAAAGCTAATAATTTGAAGTTTGTAACGCCTTTTAAGTTTCGCTCGTTTTTGACTTTTGCTTCTTAATTATTCATACACCGCGACGTTACCTACAAATAGTGTATAAACAGTTGCAATAGTCCAAAATAAATATAAATGGTCAACTATTAAGTAAAATGTAAGAGTTGTTTAGTTAGAGGGAGAACCATTTTAGTTGGAGGAAGGGAGTCTCCTTTCAAGCTTAATAAATATCAGCGACGGTATAAATAATTATCATCGATATATTTTTCTCACTCTCTCTTATCAAATAATTTAAAAAATTAGAATACTCATCTTCAGATAAAATAAAAAAAAAATAAAAAAATAGAATACTCCTTTCTATTTTTCACGTGATTCTCCATCCTCAGCTCTATCCATCCTTAATTCTTATCAAATATACGTGTGTTAGTATTTACTTGATTAGAATCATTTTACTTTTGTAGAACGCACATATACTTTTCATACATAGTAACAAGAGCAATATTCAAGATGCAAAGCATGCACCTTTTTTTTTTTTTAATCAAAGTTGTATCATTGCAATTTCACAAACCTTTAACCAAAAAGAAAAATAAAAAATAAATGTTACAAACACTTGTGATACGCAGAAAATTAAATCATCAAACGGTACTTTTTCATAAGAGCACAATCATTTCAATTTCAAGGATTAACACTTAAAATTTGGTCGGCATTAATTAGGAACTGCCACAATTATCTTCATTCCAGATATACCCTTTTCAGAAGATGGAATTGCCATGACAATTTGATCACTTGATCCAATCCAAAAGGAAACATGAACAGGTTTATTCCCTTCACGAAATTCCACCTCATGTGCTCCAACTTCATCCCAACTTGAGCTTGTCACGCCCATATTATTAAGGCTTAATTTTGCCTTATTAATAATTCCAAGTTTCGAACACTTCTCTATTTTAACATTGCCCGGTTCATTCACAAACAAAGAGAAGTACTCCGAAGATATTTTGTCATAATCATAACCAAGCTTGCTTTCTACCTCCTCAACACAAAGCAATGCAAGAGAACTTGTGATTGCAAGTTCCTTCTCTGAATTTCGCGCATCGAAGATCATGGTTTGGCCACTTTTTTTGCTCGGACTAGACCCGAAAACGCCGGGGATTGAGCTGCCGTCTCTTTTGAATTTAGGGAGGTAATATATGGGTGACTTGGTTTTGGGTGATGACAACATGGTGTTGTGTATTTCTGCCCATCTCTTGAGAAAGTTGCCGTTGAACAAAAAGTCCGCTAGAAGAAGGCTACAACTTATCCCAAAGGAGTATCCACCACACTCAAAATTAGTCACCTTAAACAAAATGAAAAAATCAACATAAACATCAATATGTAAGAGCAATAATAATCCATTTTCAAAAGAAAGAAAAACAAAAATCCACACACTTGACTCTAATGGGTAAAATAAGAAAATATACATCCTATAGTCAAGTATCGAATTTATGAACAGTTTGAATACAAAAAAATACATGATGTGAGTATATATACAAAACCTGCAAATAGAATAGGGGAGAGAAGTTAGGATCTTCTCTATCAATATCTTTCCAAAAGACAAGCTCAGTTTCTGCTTCATGGCGGCTCTTGGAGCCAAGAAACTCGGACAAAGTAACCGGCATTCGGGCCTCAATAAGTCTGATGCCACTGTCGTTTGACACAATCTCCAGTCGTTTATCACCGTCGGCAGCACTGCGGGCTTCCGTCTTTAGTAACAAGAGCAATATTCAAGATGCAAAGCATGCACCTTTTTTTTTTTTTAATCAAAGTTGTATCATTGCAATTTCACAAACCTTTAACCAAAAAGAAAAATAAAAAATAAATGTTACAAACACTTGTGATACGCAGAAAATTAAATCATCAAACGATACTTTTTCATAAGAGCACAATCATTTCAATTTCAAGGATTAACACTTAAAATTTGGTCGGCATTAATTAGGAACTGCCACAATTATCTTCATTCCAGATATACCCTTTTCAGAAGATGGAATTGCCATGACAATTTGATCACTTGATCCAATCCAAAAGGAAACATGAACAGGTTTATTCCCTTCACGAAATTCCACCTCATGTGCTCCAACTTCATCCCAACTTGAGCTTGTCACGCCCATATTATTAAGGCTTAATTTTGCCTTATTAATAATTCCAAGTTTCGAACACTTCTCTATTTTAACATTGCCCGGTTCATTCACAAACAAAGAGAAGTACTCCGAAGATATTTTGTCATAATCATAACCAAGCTTGCTTTCTACCTCCTCAACACAAAGCAATGCAAGAGAACTTGTGATTGCAAGTTCCTTCTCTGAATTTCGCGCATCGAAGATCATGGTTTGGCCACTTTTTTTGCTCGGACTAGACCCGAAAACGCCGGGGATTGAGCTGCCGTCTCTTTTGAATTTAGGGAGGTAATATATGGGTGACTTGGTTTTGGGTGATGACAACATGGTGTTGTGTATTTCTGCCCATCTCTTGAGAAAGTTGCCGTTGAACAAAAAGTCCGCTAGAAGAAGGCTACAACTTATCCCAAAGGAGTATCCACCACACTCAAAATTAGTCACCTTAAACAAAATGAAAAAATCAACATAAACATCAATATGTAAGAGCAATAATAATCCATTTTCAAAAGAAAGAAAAACAAAAATCCACACTTGACTCTAATGGGTAAAATAAGAAAATATACATCCTATAGTCAAGTATCGGATTTATGAACCGTTTGTTATTTTAATATGATCTGACGTTGAGAAACACAATAAAAATACATAAAAATACATGATGGGAGTATATATACAAAACCTGCAAATAGAATAGGGGAGAGAAGTTAGGATCTTCTCTATCAATATCTTTCCAAAAGACAAGCTCAGTTTCTGCTTCATGGCGGCTCTTGGAGCCAAGAAACTCGGACAAAGTAACCGGCATTCGGGCCTCAATAAGTCTGATGCCACTGTCGTTTGACACAATCTCCAGTCGTTTATCACCGTCGGCAGCACTGCGGGCTTCCGTCTTCCGAAGCCGTCCACAGAAAATAGGTTGCTCCAACAAAGCTTTTCCTAAGGATTCCTTGATCCAGCCGGCGTGAAGCCAGCCGGAGTCCTCTTGACATGCTCGGTTGTAGTAAAGAAGGACGTTTAGGCAGCCTCCGAGGATGTCGGAACCGAAAGGATCGCCGGATCCGGCGGTGGACACACCGCGGACCTGCCGCGGATCGGTGAGCTTTGAAGGTGACACGCTCAGTAGAGCTTCAATCTGTAAGTTGGGTATGGTATTTGTGTAGTTTCCCATACTTTTGGCCAGGTTGTGTAAGGACTAGTTTGTTCAGAAAGGTGGATTTATAGGCCACAAAATTACCACACATGTAATTGTTTTTCAATAATTTACAGCCTGCAGTAAGGGACTTAGGGGTAAAAAAAATAAAAAGAAAATAATTAAAAAGTCAGGCAAAACACTAAAAATCAACGCCACATATTTGATAATAAGATTATTCTCTTTTTATCCCCAAGCTTTACACATATCTCTATTCCAACCCTTAAAAATTCCATACTTCGTTACTCAAGCTTACTTGACCTTCTCTTTTAGAATTTTCAATTAAAACTAACACTAAAGTCTCATTCATTTTATCGATTTTAGTTTTCAGTTTTAAGTTTCTATAGTTAAAAATTATCAGAAAATGTCACATCTAACTTTTTCTCCTACAGTTAAAAGTTATTAGAAAATGTCACATCTCAACTCAAATTAAAAACTCGAATCCGCGAAGGGAACGAGGCCAAACAGTACTACAAATATAAAAGATTTTAGAAACTTTGAGTCTTTATCTCCTTGGAATAAAAGAATATCAACACTCAGTGGAATCCAATCCTAATGCTTCACAAACAGCGCCAACCTACGGCATGAGTGCTTTATTATTTAATTTTTTTTTGTTAAAATTTGAGGTTTATCTTTGTTAAATAGGAGTTAATGTTTAGGCACCACTTTCTTTGTGTATATATTCTGTTTAGAAATTCGGATAAGGAGTTAAGTGAGACTAATTTATATTAAGGTTTGGAGTTTTTACTTCGTGCGTGTCCAAGGGAAAATAGAAATGGGTATAAAGTTTGTGTCCCAAGTGGGAATAATCCTTTATAATATGAATGAAAACATGTTTTCAAGAGGGTTATCATTTTTTTTTAATTGAAAAATGTGTTATGAGTAAATTAGTACTCCCTACTCCATCATGTGACAATAATGATAAATTGCGAATTTAGAATAAAGAAGGGTATACAGATACTTTAAGTAGGCACGATAAATAGGATTGGCATTTTGCTAAATGGGCTTGAAAGTTTGTTTAAATCCAAAACTAACCCGGCTTTATTAATTTTATATGTTAAAAGAGTATAAAGACGTTTAATAAATTGTCAGGATTTTGTGACAATATATTAAGCGCTGTCTAAATTGGGTAATGCTGATATACCTAACAGCGAGTTTTGAGAGATGAGAAGTTGGCCAACTTTATGTAATTAGCTTTTTTGGTAGAAACTTCTATGTTTTTCGTTACGTGCAATTTGGTAAAACAGATTAATGGATTATAGTAGCCCTTTTCCTCTCTCATTTATTTTATTTTATTTTATATTCATGTGAGTAACGTATTTTCAATGAAATATAAAATTTTTATATGTCTATATTAAATTTAGTATTTAAATAAAAATTCATTCTGCAATGCAATATGTTGTATTTAATGTTATATTCGGCAACTAATAATTACTAAAAAGAAGGAAAAGGAAAAGAGAGAGAAGAGAAAGGATAAAGTTAGCATATTTGAATGAGTTAAGTGTGAGAAGTTAACATTTTGAAATAGTACTCTAAAAATAAATCCCAACAGTATCATTTTATTCATAGGAGGATCTTTTTTTTCTCTGTTTTTTTTTTTTTTTTTTTTTTTTTTTGATTTGAAATTTACATTCAATTGGGTGGGGGGTAA